TGATTGTTGGATGGTGATAATTTTTGTGAAAGGGTTAACTGTTAAGGATTTTGTTTGAGAAAAATCATTTAAGTCCAATGGTTATCACCGTTTCAAGTCATCATAAGTTTAGTGATAAAGATAATTCTGGACCAGAACTGTGTTAAGAACATATATCTCAAAATATCAAATTGTTCAGGAGAGTCATTTTAAACTATTTTCAACTTTAAACTAATATTATGTTGACCATTCTTGGTGAATCATTCTGTTTATATACATATATACATATAGAATACTATATTATATATATATATGTATATAGAAATAAAAACTATAAGTACCTAACAAAAAAGTGAAAAGAAACGTAGACAAATAATACTATCGATATTTATCCATCAAATGTTTTTATATTCTGGCCCAAAAAGTAGAGTTTGATACGACTACCTGCGGCAACCCCATTTACGGGTAAATGAAAAAAAAAGTTACTTCGATCCAACGGCGAGTTGCGTGCGAGGGTAATGAAAGTTTTTTCGGTTAACAATAAATTACGAATTGAAGGTATATTATTCTTATCCTATATTATTTTACTCCAAACGTTCGTGAAAGAAAAAAAAAACGTTTATCAAAAAACTTCTATATTGAACCTGTCAAATGAGGTATTATTAAATATGGGTTTATAAGGTAGAATTTACGTTTTATAACAATTCTTCATGAACAAAATTTCACTGAAACGAAATCATTAAGTTTAAAATAAACATAACGATATATAATAATACACCTCAAATAATATTATTATTTTCACTCGGAATATATAGCTATATGCCAACTAATAATCAAAGGAAAGAACTTTTGTCAATCTGTTTAGTTTAAATCGATTTATAAAAAAAGTTTAATTTCTTAAATCGTTTTTAAATACCTAACTGGAGTCTGGCGTACAGATGGAATTTGCATTGATCCAAAAATCATTTCATTTTACTATTCATTTTTCAGTAAAGCAATTAATAACGTAAGTACTTATAACGCAATCATAATGAATTATAACATAATATAAAACCTGTATTCGAAAAGTATCGAAAATGAACGTTTTCTAACAACACTGCGTAGTACTTACACGTTTGCTGAAATGACAATTTCGTTGTTAGTCGAGAGACATTCATACATCGAAAATGTTTATTATTAAAATATGTGCTCTCTCATTGGTAGTTTATACTTTTTTGTGCTTTAAATTACAATGTGAAATTGTATTAAACCAGGAGTTAAATTCCACCCAAATAGAATTTACTGCTACAGTCATAACGCCATCACACTTTTAATCAAATTTATGTATATATATATATTTTTTTTTAAGTGAAAAAAAATGACAATTGTATATTTTATATCACCATAACTATAACGAATTTCAAGTTGACAAGTTTTTGTACCCATTTCTGTTATTTTATCTATTCTATACAATTTGAATAAGATATAAATTATTACTAATTATTAAAATGATTTGACGATATTACATAAGCATGTTTTATACATGACGTTTATACAACATAAACGATGATTTATCTGTCTTGTTAAATACTTATAAGAAATAGATTGGTAGTTTTCAAGTATGTCAACTATTTTAAATTATAGAAAAAAAAAAAATTAGACATAATTTAACCAAACAAATTAGTGAACTGAATATAAATATCGATGAGCTTAATTATTTATTATGTGTTTGATCATCTAAAAAACAAAATTAAGGATTGAAAAAAAATTAAACTTGAAGGACCCAATGTTATGTCAGCGGTTTTTCACTGAAAGTTGTTAAAAGCTCTAGCATGACTGGAAGACAATGTAAAACTACAAATAAATAATACAAACAGGCCGTGTTTGCACTATACGTTTCTATCGTATATTTTCCCTCTAAAAATTGTTAGTTTCTCAATGCTTTGTTTGATTTATTTTGAGGTTTATGTAACTGTGGGCTCGTCATAAATTATGAAACCACCACACAATTTTATATTTACGTAGAGTTATCTATATAATATAGTTAATAAAGAACTCCATATCGTGGTCATTATTACAATGTGTTAGTCCATAATAATATATAGTTGACCGTTTTAATTTTTGTAAATTATTGTTAAAAACAAAAAAGAAGAAACGGTCGGAAATATTCGCAATGAACGTCTATGTTTGTTGAAAAAACATTATAATCGCGTTCCGGGACTACCTACTTTATTTTCAGTACAGAACCAACCACGCAGAAACACGTCCAATAGTGTTAATTTATACGATCCTTTTTTTTTCTATGCATTTCATTACATCAGTCCATCAACGATTTTTAGTAAATGTATGTATTGGTTATTTTCGCAGCGTAGGAATAAAGAAAAAAAATACACTCCTCTCCACACCCATTCACTCTGCCATGTTTAATACACACACACACACACACACACACACACACACACACACACACACACACACACACACACACACACACACCGACTGTAGGCCTTTTAAATTTAATGGAAACGCCACCGTGTCTTTTAAGTACGTATATTCACCTCCATTCACTACAGTTCGGGTTCTACATGCCACACTGAGTTTACAGACTGGTCATTCGATTTTATTGAGTTGCTGATGGGGTTTTATCTCTTCATTCCCTCACACGCACACCTACACACACTCTCACACATATATACATACAAACATACATACATGACGTATACTTTGCTGCACGCTGCCTTTTGTCTTTCCATTTACACTCTGCTTTTATTATTATTAGATATTATTTTTATTATTAATATCATAATATTATTATTATTACTATTGTTATTATAGGTACCATATTATTTGTCTTTCTGCACTATCACGTGACCGTCTAGTTTCTATGAACACATTTTCATTTCCTAATTTTTTTTTTTTTTTTTACTCGCTCCGGCTACATTATTATTGTTTCTATCAATGCATTAAGTACCGTTATTACGTTGAAGTATATTGACTGTTAAAATTACGTTCGGTGTGTTCTCGCGATGGTAAACTCGCGCTGTTCGGTTTATAATATTACACACATTCAGCAGCCTCGTAATGGACAGGACCGACCACAAAGTTTCCACGTCCCCGCTAAAACTTCCGGGACAGTAATTACGTTAAGGACGTTCACCGTCTTAATTGTCGGCGGCACAAGGTAATGCAATAAATTACAGTACGTGGATATTATCAAAGCGGAAGCACCGAATTTGAAATTGCACGGTTGATGTAATTTATCTGACTATTCGTCGATATTGTTTTAGGGAAATGTACGGCAGTGCGATGGCGTTCGGAATTATTTTTACAACCGTTGCACGTTACGCGGGACGGCGAACGACCTAGCTAGATGGAAACGAGCGAGAAAAACACTGGTTTATAGTATATTGACGGCAATAACAATAATCTAATAGCGACATAAATTTGCCAAAAACGGCGAAAATACAATATTGTATGGTATGTTGTTTAATATAAACCATGTCATCAATTGAAATCATATTAAAGTGTTATTTATTTATTTTTATATAAATATTGCGTTATGTAAGTCAAATTCGCTCCGTATTTGCGCCGTGCATGTGTACACGTTATTTTTATTGGAAAACTTTTTGAAACATTTATTATTTTTTAAGTAAATTTATTCCTCGAGAAACATAAATATATTTTACAACGAGATTTAGTAATCTCGTAAAAATTCACCTAATCCTTTAACGGGGCAATAACATCGTTGTAAACGTATATTATTACTAAAAAAAAAAAATTCACGTAACGGACATTAAAGTATAAAGCAGATACAATCTCGTAGCGGTAACGCCGAACTGAAGTTTTATTCGCCAACCTTGTAGTAGAGGTAATACGTAATGAAATTCTTTTATCGAAGGAAAAATTAAATTAAAAGTTCTGGGTGACCCGATACCAGCGAAATAAGTGTTTCGGAAATCACGAGAAAAGGACGTTTTTTCGGTTTAATCAACCACGCCCTGTAATAATAATTGATAAGGTTAGTCTTATAACAAAGGAAAAATGATCGTCCAAACGTCACGCAACCAAGGTCGAGAGCTATATTGTTCTAGGCCCTTTTATTATTAATTTACGTGAGTCCTCACTTACATTAAAGTTCATTGAAAGATCGTAATTAATAGTGCCACATAAAAGTATATAGTATATATATCATTCATTTTAGTCACCACGGGTGTTAATAGTTATATGTTATAACATCTATATAAATAAGGTGATTCTATTTAAGGTGCACACTCGTTATTTTGAAAATGATTAACTCTTTTGGAAATATTTATTTGAACATTGACACAAAATTAAAAAAAAATTATATTTTTACTATTTTTATATTCAAATGGTTTTACTTTTTCATGAGAAAGCATACATTTTTAATTGACAATTATTCCTATAAAGAAGCAATTTTCTGAAAATATTTATGTACAAAATTGCATTATGAACAAGTAGTTGATTAGTATTATAATATTACTTAAAGTCTATATGAACGAAGTGTACTCCGTAAAATGTCGGTCGGAGCGTTGTGGACTGCTCAACTAAACTTTAAATACATACCCTACAACTTATAACTGATCAAATACGTGTTTGAAATTAGATTTATGTACGTTGAAATTGTCAGAAAAATATTTTGTTTTATAATATGAAATCAAAACCATTGCAATTAGGTCGATAAAAAAAAATAAAACTTAGAAAAATATGTATTTTTGTGTTGTTATATTTTAATAGCTTTAAATCGCGTAAAAAATTATGAAATTTAAAACAATATAGTTAAGGAGTTTAATTTTAAATGAATCGCCCTTTGCATTGTACGCTTTTTGACCGGTACTCTGTGTATTTTTACCGGTCCGTCGAGCCGTACATACCAGTATAATAGTACGGTCAGTGCGCTGTCGACGGATGCCGTCTTAAAGCCAGGAAGTGGCACGGTTCTAGCAGTATATATACATTTCCGTTTTCACGGCCGGAAGTGTGTATCTTATTCGCGTAGAGTCGCCTTTAGTCACCACCACATCATGGCGGCTTCGGCGGTGGTGGATGTAATCATACCGAGCGAAACTGTTAAGTTCACAACTCTGAAGTTTTCGACACAAACATCTGGTCCGTGCGGTTATTCGCAAACACGCATTTACACACATCTGAGTAGCTACGGATCGCAAACAGCTATGGCTATGGCGCGCTTAATATATAATAGTGTTGTTCGGCGGCAGAGCAACTATGTCTCGCAAAGGCGAGTTTATATACGTTTTGCCGGGCTTTTACCAACTGCAGTCGAACAAAAGGTCCCACCGCCGTGTATTTCTCGGGGCTAATGGATCGGGTGGCACCGATTCCGATGGTGTATGTGCATGTGCATGTGTGTAATATTATATATGTAACGTTGGGCAGCCAGCAGAGGGGTTATCCACTATCCGTCGAGCGGGATCAACATCCCACACCCCCGCCCACACCTCGCATACGGTCTACGACACTCTCCCGCTGTTTGCATCGCGTTTCAGACACGTCGTTTTGTCGCGATAGGTATATTGAGAAATTGTGAAAATTTCTTTTGCTTTCTTTTGTCGAAACCACTCCTTCGCCACACACCCCAATCCTTCGCCGGGGGGACGCCGCACTACGGTAAAGTTCATCTTTAAATAATATGTATATACGTCTACCTATACGGTTTTCACAACCCGAGATATCTCTTTCATAATATACTGTTACCCCGACAATCGACGACTGCAATCGTCTGTTTCGAAATAAGTTATTGCCCTTCGTCTTATACGCTGCAGGATATAATATTACGATGCCAAGGTGTGCGTGCGTGCAGTGTGCACTTTACTGTTTTCGATTACTTTCGTATAATATGCGTCTCTTGAAGTAAGTATCTTCTTATTATAGATATTATTTAGTATAAATCATGCAATGTTGTTGGATCGTTTTTGTTTTAATACAAGTAATTAAATATGTTTTGAGTCTATTTAAATAATTATTACGAGGTCAGAGTGTTTAATATCGATCAACTAGAACAAAAATTATCCTTTTTTCCGTTATTTATATTGTTTTCAAAAAATATTGTAAATCAAACAAACAGCTTAGGGGTATTCTTTCAAATTTATCTCATATCCAAAATGTACCGTGTGGAAGTATTATGATTGATATGATATTTGCATTTTGTATGTAATATGAAATACATCCAAATTAATATTAATGTAATAATACAAAGTAGGTAAGGTATAGTGCTCACTGAATGTTAAATGAAAAATTCAGAAGTAGTATTAATACTTTATAAAGTGATCTATTATTCTGATTAAATCAAGTTTGATTAAATATTTTTTGAATATTTCTGGAATAGCATAATTTTTCCTAATATCGCGAATACATACACTGAAAAAAAAAACAGTATAACAGTATTTAAGTATTATACATAAAGACATCATCCTAAGAATTGTACAATATAATATTAAAGTAAATACTTCTTATTGGATTCAAAGTTTTATAAGCATATTATAATATTATATTACATTAGATATATATACTATTTTATTTTTATCGAATCCAGATTTAAAACGTCACAGTATGCAAAGATTTCACATTAATTTAAAATAAAATATCATCATTGACATGATAATATTATTACTTCAGTCATACATTAACAATCCAAAAATATTTAGGTACTTTGATCACATTAATTCTTAAATGTATGTACTATGAGGTATAGGGATACAAGTATTGTACTACTAAATGGTTTAAAATACATGTCAGATAATTGAGTACCATTGAAAATGTCTCCAAAGTATTGGTAAAACTTGTCAGTGTGTAGAATGTTCACCTAATTTCACCAAACATAAATAGAGTCAAATGTCTTGTTTTTAATCATTTGCTAAATGATTTATTACGAACAAGAAACCAACCGTCATTAAAAATGGGTTCATGGCATGTAATATGTACCCACTGGTTACACACAAAGTATTTATTTTTTATTACCTACTCGTTTAATGTTTTTAATTGTTTTTTCGTCCTAATAAAAAATCTCCTGGACACGACAACATCACTAATCTTATGTACAAAAAACTACCTATTAAAGCAACTATGTTCTTGACTTCCCTATTTAACTCGCTTCTTCGTCTTGGTCACTCCCCGGATAGCTGGAAAAAGCAATCATAATCCTCATAAAAAAACCTGGAAAAGACAAAACAGACCCTGACAGCTACAGACCAATTAGTCTACTAACATCGTTATCTAAGATTTTTGAAAAAGTCATTCTTTCTAGACTGCAAAATTATCTAAACTGTAAAGACACAATTCCAATTTGGAATCAAAGCACATCACTCCACTACACAGCAACTCAAACGTATAACAGAACATATAAGTAGCTCATTTGAAAAACATTTTCACTCGGGTGCCGTTTTCATAGACATCTCTAAGGCTTTTGATAAGGTTTGGCATCATGGGTTGTTGTTCAAAATTATCAACACATCAAATTATCTACTCGACTCCATAGCTTCATTTCTATCTAACAGGCAATTTTCTGTTAAAATAAATGACAACTTTTCTTCTTTCCAACCAAGCTTAGCTGGCGTCCCACAAGGATCAATACTTGGCCCAACATTATTTAACATCTACACATTCGATATCCTGCAGTCAAAGCACACAAACATAGCTCTCTTCGCGGATGATACCACCATTAACCCTGAGTCTCTCAACTCAGAAGCAATATTTGTACATATTCAAAACCACTTAAATACATTATCTGCCTGGTGCAAGAACTGGAAGATATCAATTAACCCATCAAAAAGCGCAAGTATTTTATTCAGTCTACACCGTAATCCTACTCCACCACCTCTAACTTTTAACAATGAACCAATCGCATGGAAGTCGTCCGTCAAGTACCTTGGCGTGACGTTGGACAAAAGATTAACCTGGTGGCCACACCTCTCATCTAAACTCAAACAAGCCTATCAACGTCTAGGGATGTTCTTCCCTATCTTAAACAGGAAGTCTTCGCTACAAAAAAAACTTTCCCTACTTATTTATAAGCAAATACTACGTCCATTAATCACATACGCTTGCCCTATTTGTGGTAAATGTGTTCAAACTCATCTTAATAAACTGCAAATATTTCAAAACAAAGTCTTAAGAACGATAACAAACGCTCCATGGTTCGTAAGGAACTCAAGCATACACAAAGACCTCAAAATTCCAACTCTTCAAGACCACATCAAGTTCTTGGCTGCGAGCTTCTTCGAATCCATCCACAAGTCAACAGGTTCGCACTACCACATCAACATCAGACCACCTAAACAACGCCACCTCCAACGTGGTCGCCCGCATAACCTAATTCCTCAAGAAACACTCTAACTTAAGCCTCTAACTATTATTATCATTTACACATTAAATTTTAATAATTAATTATCGCACTTAACTCGTCAAAATGTATTAATTATCATTCATATCTATGTATAGATTGCAACTAGCTAGGAATACCTTATTGTAAAAAAAAAAATAATAAAAAAAAAAAATTGTTTTTTAGTAAATATTTAAGCTGTGACAAATTGTTCAATAGAAAAAAAAATGTAATAACATTGGGTTTTACAAATATTACAGTATAAGTGGTTTATTCATAATAGTTTAAATATTTATATAATTAAAAAGTCCAATTATTTTCATGAAAGTAAACTTCATTTCATTAATCCTATACAATGCATTAATGGGGAATAACTGCGTTCTTTTGTTTATACACAACTTTTCAGATTTTAATAAGAGTGCAGTCAAATGCACCAATGCATTTTGTTAGTTCAGTTATACTAAAAGTCTGTGTTGAATTTTTGTCTTTCATTTAAAGTTACTAGAAACAAAATATTCCTTGGGTTGAAACTCGATATAACTTTAAATACTTTGTATTATACTATAAATATAATATAGATATTGCAAAGATATAATAAATGCATTGTTTTATTTATGTATTAATATATTATATATAATATAATATATGTATTTGTATATTTAGTATTATTTATATTTTATTTGTTTTAATCATATTATTCTAACCTACAACTTCACATCAAAAAAGATGATATTGCATCGATATGTACTATGTAGTTGGATGAATGCATTCAATTATCTGATAAAAATGTATTCATAGAAATATAGTAAGAAAATCTGTAACAGAATTGTTATTTGTTGTATTTGTTAATCATCCATAAATAACTGTGGTACCCATATATATTCCGTTTAGTTTATTAGCCTGTTATTTCGTGTCCATAAATCTAAGTCGAGTAGGTATATTACTATTCGTTATCGGAAAATAAATGATTAAAGCGATGGATCGTGTCACCACCACGACCCTTTTGATAAGGTTACACATGTCACGGAAATCACGTAGTTTATCATAAACATACACAAGGTCATTTTCTGTTAGATTTATAGTGAAATATACGAACGATGTATGTGTACTATCGATTCGCTCTTAAGGTATGATATATCTGTAATATAAAGCTATTTATATAAGAATAATTGAGTTAGAAACATGAAAATATAAAATAAATAAGTAAAATCGAATACCTATAACTGCATTTGACACTTTTAATTTATATCTAATTTTACATTAAAATATGATACAGTTATAATATGTTTTAATTAAAATCGTGTGATTAATATAATAATATGTTTTTATATATTATAAACATTTTTAATAATATTCATTCAAATATTAAATTTATACTTACTCGACGAAATTATTTAGTATTCAATATTACTCAAATAATTGTAATACAAATTATAAACTCGATTGGTGGTTGTTAATAAAATAATATATTTAATAAATTGTGAATTGTCATTCTACATAGAACATGATACTATTTTTAAATCACTCTTATTTTATTTTTAAGTAAAAATAAACCATTATACAACATGGTAGTTATTAAAATGATTATTTATTACTATTGTCTTCGTGTACGATGTATCACTATTGCCTATATATTGCGCCGTCTTATATTTTTAATACATTAATGAAATTAATTTTAATATTTTTAATGACTCTTAAGTATAGATTATAAATTATAATAAATCAACATTAAAATAAACATTTTATTTTATGATTAATACATAAAATGTAGAATATATATGTAATTTCAATATTAATATTATTTTATAATTATTTATAATTATTTGTTTTAAATTGCTTAATAGGTATTAATTCATAAAATGTATTGATCCAAGTCAGCGTTTTTAATTTTAATATAAGAAATGGTATTGTTTATTTTCCATCAGGATTACAAATTGTCGTATACAAGTTGAGATATTATTATGTCATTTTCCGTTTGAGTTT